GAAGAGACATTTCTGGTATCATTTTTACTCACAGTAGCTAAAACAGAAGCAAGTCAAATGTTCACCAACAGGTGAGTGGATGCAAAAAAACACAGGACATTTGTGATCTTTACCTACATGTACATACACTGGAATATTATTTAGCATTAGATAGGAAGGAAATTCTGACAGAATCTGCAAAACTGATCAATTTTCAGGATATTTTTCTATGTGAAATAAACCATTACAAAAAGTAAATACTTTATACGATATGAGATATCTGGAGTGGTTATATTCATAGAAACAGAAAGCAGAATGTGGTTTCTAGAAAGTGATAGGAAAGGGGAATGGAAAAACTGCTTAAAAAACCTGACTTTTATAAGTTTAAGAGTTCTGGAGATTGCACAGTACACATTAACTTCAGTGAATTTATACTTAAAAATGATTGGCATGTGATGCAGTAGTTATAACACCACTTGAAACGCCCACATTCTATAGAGGATTTCCTGGTTTGAGTCCTGGCTCAAACTTACTTGTAATCCACCTTCTTGCTAATGCAAGGAAGGTATCAGCTGATAGCACAAATACTATTTGTCATTGCTATTCCATGAGAAGTGTGGACTGGGTTCCAGGTTCCTGATTTCGGCCTGGCCTGAGCCTAGCTGTTGTAGGCATTGGCAGAGATTTGGGGAGAGGAACAGAAGATGGAAAAAAGTTTCTCCACATGTATCTTTGTCTCTCTCTGCCCTTCAAATAAAATGGAAATACATAAATTAAAAATGATTAAGATGATAACATTTATGTTATATATATTTTGCCACAATTAGAAATTATTGCAAAAGATCATCAATAATTTTGGTGAAAATCGTTTCATAATATACTGAGTCCATCAAACAAAGGAAAGAAAACACTGGTCTCAGCTGTTCCATTTCTGATCCAGCTCCCTGGTAATGTGTCTTGGAAAACAGTAGAGAATGCCAAGTGCTTGGGCTCCTGCATGCATGTGAGAGAGCTGGAAGCAGCTCTAGCCTGCTGGCTTCGGCCTGGCACAGCCCTGGCCATTGCAGACATTTGCAGAGTGAACCAATCACTGGAATATTCTCTTTCTCGTTTTCCTCCATTTCTTCCCTCACTTTATTTTTCTGAATAACTCTAACTTTCAAATTAAACAAATATATCTTTAGAAAAAAAAGAAGTTATGAAAAGGGTATAGTTTGGGTGGCAGTAAGAGAAGATGGTGAGTGAGATTTGTTAATTTAATATCAGGTGAAAGCCTACAAAGAAAGTTGCAAATGAAGCTTTGATTACACAAGAGATCAAGATCATGCCTACCTGCATATGTTCAACATGAGAGGAAAATGGAGGGTTTTGTTGAAGACAGCAGAGAAAAATCTTGGGGTACATCCAACATGGATTATTGGGGAAAGAGAAAGATTAGGAGCAATAGAAGGCAAAAAGCAGAAAAGCTGTTTCAAGGCCAGGGTAATGTGACTGCTTCTGAACAGTACAAGGAGGCTGAATATCAAGAGAATGAGGGAGACGGGGCAGTCATTCATGAACGTAGGAAAGCAGTGTGTGTGGTAACTGGACACTAGTTAGATTTGGGAGTTTCAACAAATGGATGGTGAGAAAGGAAAGACGACAGGCACAGACCTCTCAATAAATCTAATAGTGAATAACTGGGGAGTAATGCAGCAGCTCAATAAGGAATGGAGTGTTTAGGTATAGGTTTTTTTTAAAATTATTATTATTAGTTTCATGAGAATTTCTGTAAATTTGTGTATAGAAGGAGAAGCCATTAGAGAGAAAACAAAGGTACAGAAGCTATAGGAAACATGAACGAGTGCATACAAGTGACAGAAATTGCCTAAAGGTGACTAAAACCGTATCCTCAGGACCAAAAGAAGACTCAGCACCTAGTGAAGAAATAACTATTGCTAGTGGTTTGGATAACTACATAACAAGCAGCCAAACTCAACTTTATGAACATAATGGTAGTTGGTTGACTGATGTCCAGTACAAAGATGTGGAAGTCACTGTGTAATGTTTTTCCTGGTGGTCAGTGTGGACCTGGCCCAGCCCTGGCTGCTCCGGGCATCTGGAGACTGAACCAGTGAATACCAGCATTCTTTCTCTCTCTCTCTCTCCCCTTCTCAAATTACCTCTCTTTCTCAAATAAGAAAATGAGAAAGTGGACACGTGGGAAGCAAATCAAGATAAATACAAACTAATAGTTAAGTGGAGTTTGATGTATGACTGGCTGAATTACACCATTGCCACATTAACAGAAAATAGCTATTTTTTCTTTTCACCCTCTAAAAATAAATGAAGTTTATTTTCTATTATTTTTCTCAATACATGAGGATCTCAGGCTTTCAAGAGAGACACTGTCTTTATATCATCAGTTTCCAATTTAGTGCCGGGCACGGGACTAAGACTTCAAAAATTTTCTTAGGTTCCATGATATCAGTACCATCTCTGTTTTCACCCAATAATCTTACATTAAAAGATACTATGAAAATGTGAAATAGTGTGAATACACTGTCAGGAATAATTTAGAACATTAGTTGAATCACACAAAAATACTAGTGAGAAAACAGGCAATACAGCTTAAACAAAGTTCCCTAAATAAACAATGATTTGTGAATTTGTTAATTCTATTCAGTTTTTCCAAATCACATGAACTCACTTAGACTTACAAAGCAGGTAAGTAAATAACAAATAAGAACAGTTCATGGAATCAACCAGTTTAGCAGGTTTTTTTTCTGATGCTAAGTAGAACATCATCTGACAGTAAGAATATTGCAGTCATCACTGTAGAAATTAAACTGAAAATGTTGTGAGCAGATGACTAATGTACTTTTACTCAGAAGTAAGCAAATCTGGAATGCTGATTTAGCTCTTTATGAACAAAACAAAAATATTCTATTCTCTTGTTCTAACCAACAGAACCATAAGAGTTAGAGATCCTTGAAATTTTTTTATTTCAAGAGCTCCAAGAAATTAAAAATAATAGTAACAAAGGACTTTACAGAGCAAAGAGATTAAAGAATAAAGTCCTGAAATCTTTTCTTTAATAGAAAGGTCTTGTGGGAAGCGGCCAACTCATGTGTATGAGGGGCCGCCCAAGATGGCGCCTGGCCGAGGGCCAGGAGGCAGGATTTGTCTCCACAGCAGGTAAACAGGAAGTCACAGGGATAGGCTAGTGATTCCACCGGCCTATCAGGTAGCGCCCAGTGGACCCACCAGGAGAACTGATTGGTGGAGAAATATATATAAGCAGCCCACTTTCTGCAATAAAGCTCTTTCTCCTTTTCATTCGCCTGCCCCTTTTTGTTCGTCTCTCCTTTCTTGTTCGCCTGTTCGTTCAGTGAGTGTGTGCTGGTTGCGGTGGCGGTTCCAGGCCCTCGAGATTCCTCGTCATTTTAGTGTCGCCACAGGACAACGACAGGTCTAAAATAATTACTCTTATAGATTTAAACAGTTTGATCCTGCTTAAAAGGCTCTGAGTTTCCAGTGGATTATTTTTTCAGTACTCCAGTTCCACTTTCAAACCTGCTGCCTAAAGTTTAAACACCAAAGTAAAACAGGAAACAAAAGTTTTTGTTTTTGTTTTTAATTTAAAAGGAGAAGTTATAAAGAGAGGAGGAGACACAAAGAGAGAATCTACCATCTGCTGATTCACTGTTCAAGAGGCAACAATGGCTATGGCTGGGTCATTAAGGCAGGGGCCTGGAATTTCATCTGGATGTCCCAAATGGGCACAGGAGCTAGCTAAGCAGCTGCCTGTGATGCCACCATCCCATGGGCACAAGCTCAAGTCCCAGCTGCTCCACTTCTGATCCAGCTCACTGTTAACTGACTGAGGATGGCCCACATGGGCCATCTTTAATTATCATAAGGGGACAAATCTTTGTCTTCTAAAGTTAATGTCACAATGTCATTTTAGACCTTTTTTAGGAAAGGAAATTTAGTCAGATGATGGTGTTTAGACTTAGGGTCTTTGTAAAGTGACTGGATTAGATTACACGATTGAGGGTAGAGTAACAGGAGTGAGGAATGTCCAGCCCTCAGGTGTATGAAGCCTGAGAAATTATTTGATCTGCTAAGGCAACTGTATGCAGGACTTGAAATACAATGATTATAGCAGGTTGATTTTTAAGCTGATATTTTTGTATGCTCTGGGAATGTTACAAATTTATAAAATGTATAAAATTTGTGACATGAAAGGTTCCCTACTGCTGCTCTCGAAGGAGAGGGACAGAGCCCACACAGAATAGACAGACATTCAGTCCCTGCCTCGTGCTCTGTGATCCTTTGTGACATCTCAGAACTCTGTCATCAGGAAAGGCATCACCATTGAGGACCCTACAGCTTGTGCCTGGTTTCAAAAAGAAACTATTCCAGACAAAAACCTCGATTTTAGTCCCATTAGATCCAGATCCATTTCAGACTTCTGATCTGCAGGAATGGAAGAGCATATATTTGTATTGTAAAAGCCATTAATTTTGTGGTAACTCGCTACAGCAGCTGCAGGGAATGAATTCAGGCATCCTGAAGCCTACTTAACGGGTGCAGAAAATGAAGGCTCCTAGATACAGAATACAGAGTCCTACAAAATAGACAGGAAGAATAGGAGAAGCCCAGCAGGAAGCCATCAGCTCTTCTACATTTTTACGATAAAGTACATTTCATCAGGGATTTTGTGATAGTAATGAAAAGCTGACTATTTAGTATTCATATTCTCCAGCTAACATTCTTTGATTATGCCTGCTGAGTGTGATGAAAGGTTATAATACCTATGCTAACAAATAGAATTTACATTTCTTAACACATAATCCCTAGTTCCTTTCACTATTTGTACTTGATTTATCCTGAGGTCAACTTATTGGAGATACCTGTTACAGCAATGTGGATAAACTGGTAAAATCTATGATCTACATTTCTATTTTCAATACAGAATAGATGACAGAAATACCTTTTTTGGAAAGCCCTCCCCTCCCACATTTTGTTTGTTTTACCTCATTCCCTGTTGACATAACTGCAACCACTGGAAACTTATTAACTTCAACCTCTGTGACACCTACAGTCGCCAGAAGACCAATCTCTGAGGGGCCCATGTGGGTTCCTTTGGCCAAAACGCACTCCCCTCTTTTAATGTCATGGCCGATGGGTCTGAAAGTCAAAGCAGAATCATTAGCAGTATGACTACAAAAAGGTTTTCTTCAACTCTCAAGGAAACTTGTCAGAAGATCAGGCAAGAAAAAACCAATCAGATATCTAAAACCTACGTGTTTTTCCTTTTTCCTTTGCTTGAAAAGGAGAACACAGAGCTAGAGAGGGAGAGAAGCCTGTCACCTGTTGGTTCACTCCACATGGATCCAGAACTGGGCCAGGCCAAAGGCAGGAGCTTGGTACTCCATCTGGATCTGCCAAGCCTTTACGCTATGATCTGCTGTCCCCTGCCCACAAGATGTATTAGCAGGAAGCTGAATTAGAAGCAGAACTCAAAGGACTGAAATAGGTTGTAGGCATCCCAAGCAGTGGCTTACCTTTCTGTGTCATGTGCCTGCTGCTTGTTAATTTTAAAAATAAAATCACACAAGAGAAGATAGGAGCAGGATTTGTCTGTTAGTGCTAAACAGGAATATGTTACTTCATATTTGAAAATGTTTTGCAAGCAGCTTTGTAGTACATTACAGTTAGCAGCAATTACATCACTGGGTGCTTAACCGAGTGGTTACACTGTTCGTCAAACCTGCATCTCATATTGGATTACTCAAGCTCCTGCGATTCATGTGGGGGACCTGGACTGACTGAGTTCACAACTTCCTGCTTTAGTTCCACCTGAGGGTTGTCGTGGGCATTTAGAAGAGTAGACCAGGAGATATGAGCTCGATGTCTTTGGCTGTCTCTCTCTTCCTGTGTTTCTACACACACACACACACACACACACACACACACATATACACACACGCCCTAATTGTAAGCTTTCTTTGATATTAAGCCAGAATTAACATGAAAATATTTAGTAGCAGTAGTAAAAGTTTATTTATGGCAGCAAGTCAAGGTGTGACCATAAGAGCAAAACCAACTTAAGTGATCCAAATGAAAGTAATTTTTTTTTTAAATTGGAAAGGCAGATATTTATAGAGAAGATACAGAAAGATATTCTGTCCACTGGTTCACTCCCCAAGTAGCCACAATGGCCAGAGCTGAGCTGATCTGAAGCCAAGAGCCAAGAGTTTCTTCTAGGTCTCTCACATGGGTGCAGGGTCCTAAGGCTTAGGGCCATCCTCGACTGCTTTCCAGGCCACAAGCAGGGAGCTGGCTGGGAAGTGGAGCAGCTAGGATTAGAACCAGTGCCCATATGCGATTCCAGTGGATGCAAGGTGAGGCTTTAGCCACTAGGCAATTGCACCAGGCTGAAAAGTACTTCTATGACTATAACCACATCAGCACTGTTTCTCTTCCACTAAGCTGATCATGTATGGCTGGCTGCCGTAGAATGGGAGAAGTGTAGCTCCACTGTAAGGGAATGTTGAACAAATTATATTAATGGAATCTGGGTAAATATACTGTATCATAAAAGATACAATGAAATATACTATTTATGGTAGGGCAGTGACCTCATTTTTGTCTACGAAGAGAAGCAGTTTGGCCCATGACCATTTAGTCAGTAGAGAATGCACTATCAACTAGCTGTATCTATACCCAATTCTGGAATTAACCATGTTAATAACAAATTTAGTTAATCTAGAGGTTAAGTTAGATAATTCTAGATTATTCCAGGGTTAGAATTAGCTATAGATTATACAGGCTTTATTAGTTTGTCCTCCTTCTCTTCTTTTTAACTATTTCATTTACCTTTATGATCATTGTTAAGAAGCAGGTAGGGCAGAACTAGGAGGAAGAATTCAGAAAATCCATTTTGCTTGTTGCTAATTCCCTGTAAGTTAATGTTTAACTGACACAGCTACAGATTTATAATAGCCACTGTCTCCTGAGTTTATAATTATGTAGACAAAAATGTGGCTGTACATTAAACACGTTATGAACCTACCTGATATCCTGGCCTGGCCGAGCTTGCACCAGAATTCGTACTTCAAGTTCTTCAGTGCCCTATAATAACAGCAAATCATGTAATTTCACACAGCAAAAACCTAAAACGATTTCTGACTAGTAGAATCTTGCTAGTCAGAGAATCCCGGAACACATAAACAGAGAAACAGAAAATCATTTACCAAGCCCTTTGAAAATAGTCTGAATTTTTAACATATGTTCCTAAAAAGTGGATTTGGTGACAGTGGATACATAAATAGAATATTTCTTCAACATTCACTCTTCTGAAAAAATGGACCCATTTAAGCATTAAATCATTTTGTTAGCAGCATTCTCAAGGAGTCTATCTATCCATCCTACCACATTGAACACCCAAATATTCATGGTGGTAATTTTTTATGGGGTTAATACCATGCCCATACTTCCCAAACTCCTGGAGAAATTTTAATGGCAGACTTATAGTTTGCCTGGTGGTATATTATATAAATAAATGACGGTCATTAATTTTGTATTTATAGGCTGTGAATAATACTGTGACATCAGCACCGTGTCTTATCATCTGGCAGAGTCTGCGAGTCCCTGTGCTCTGGCTTTCAGTGCTCTGCTGGCTTCTTGATGCCAGTAAATCTGCTTGGACAGTTCTAACAGCAGCAATGTAATCTGTATGCCAGGAATTGAATTTTACAAGCCCTCCATGTGGGAAGGTGATTAAAAGGAAAATCTCCTGTTTAAGAAAAGTGGCTGACTCTTGGCATGATCAATTCTCACTATATATGTCCAGGAGAATTTATTTAAAACCTCAGTTTTTAAAGTTTTTAAATAAACATATCTTAGAGTTCTTCACAAATCAATATACCCAGTCATTAGAGCCTCAAATGAATCTATTACATGCTTATTTGTGGCTGATATTCTGGTTTCAATAATTATCACTAATTTCTATGAGATAAATCCTGGTATGAATTTAGATGCTATGTCCTTTTTTAGGCAATAAAAGGGGAAGGGCTATAAATGTAATGTCATTTAGTGGTACACCGAAAGCCAGAGACGAAACAATCATTTCATTCAAATCATTTTGCATTTGGCTTAGGCTAATCTTAAAAAACTAGCCAAGGTGTGCTTTGTTAAATTATTCTCTATGAAATTCCATTTTCATAAATTCCATTTTCATAAATTCCTTTGTATTTTAGCAGATGTTGTCTCAATGACAATTTTTTTTTTTCAGTTACAACTTTGTCAACTGTTAATATTTCTCCTAATATTTCTCCTACTGTCTTTCTTTCTTTGCAGGTAAAACTTCTAGGGTCAAACATGGTTCAACTTCTGCTATCATGACAGCAATGATCATGAAAAGCCTTCCTATTATAAATCACTGTCAAGTATTTAAGGCAAATCTTTATTTACTGCCTTGCACTGAGAGGCCCCAACGTAATCAAAGACTTTGGGAATGATTCAGGAAGTGTGGCACAATAAGACCTGGCAGTGACGTACATCATCTGATTCCCTGATAAGTTCGGTGTCTTCCACTTGGACTACTGCATCAGCACCGCAGGGGATTGGAGCACCTGTTGTAACTCGCATGACTTGTCCTGGCATTACTGTTTGAGTTGGCTGGAAAAACAAACACAAAACAGACAGTTGATGCACTCGGCTGTTGCAAAGGCAAAGTCTGCAGGGGATGAAACATCTTTAGAAACAGCCATAAAAGTCTGAAACATTATCTTATCTGGGCCAATGCAACAAAAGTTTCTCACAAACCCATGCACTCATACCAAAGAGACTTTAACTTGAGTCAAGCTGACTTTACACGTACTTGAAGGTGACGACTATTGGATGTATTCTCTTGGTATGCTGCTTCCCCTCTCAAGGACTGCCCCTACACTTGCTACGCCTGCCTCTTACTCAAATCAGGTTAAGTTTCTTTTTTTCAAGTTAACTTTCTTAACATCTGTGAAGTGATTCAATAAAAAAGGCAGGCCATATGATATTATGACTGAAATTTATAAAAAGGCTATATCTTGATAATTTATGAAAGTTTCAATGTTTCAGAAATTCATGAGTCATTAACTAAACTCTGGCTAAATACAGGCAAGTCAGAAAAATCTTTGTAATTATTGCTTTTGAAAAATCTTTCTAAAACATTAGCTCATCTGTCATTTAATAGCAAAAGTCTAGCAAGTACAATTAAAGAGTTTAAAAATCATTTTAGCATATGTACTGACTTGGGCAAAATATTATTTTTGAAAATGAAGCTTTTCATTGTCTGAACTCATGTACAGATGATATAAGGTACCAAGCTTCCCCTGCTAACTTCCCCCAAACATGGAGAGACAAGCCTCTCTCTCTAAGAGCATCTAATAGGTTTGTTCTAAGTTCAGAAGAGTTACTTAGTAGAAGTAAGAACTGAAGAAGGAAGCACCATTAATCTCCAACAGAGAGACACGAGTCCTGCTGGCTCTATAGCTCCCGCGGTGCTACCAGTCCCCGGTATTACTGACTTAGAGGTGCTAATACAATCTTGCTGTTGGCAGGAGGATGCTTCACAGTCGTTTACTTCCCTTAACTCTGTCTATGTTTAGGAAGTAGTCTCTTTACAGGATGCAAAAGAATTTAAAATGGAAAGTTTGGTCCCCAAACTTGGGCCCCAAAACTATATATATACTTTATATATATTATATATATACACACACTTTAATATATACTTTATGGTTTTATGTATATATATATTGAAGTATTTCCATCAATTCACAAACATCAAACCAAATCTCTATGTGTCTCCTTCTTTTCTTTAATCTTTTCCCTATCACACTTTATAAGAACTTATAAAAACTACCAACTTTTGGTGTAATTTTCACATCTCTTCTTTTAGCTCTCTAGTATAAAGATTTCAGAGCCCACGAGACTCCTAACAGGCTGCTGCCTCTCCCTATGGACATCAAGCTGTGCCTCCTACTAGTGATTCTCTAAATTTCCCATGTAATTATGAAACCATCTCTGGGTCTCATGCTATTCTGCCTAGAATGTACCTTTCTCACTGGGCTTTTGCAAAAACACTCTTAGATCCAGTTCCCAAGCTGAAATGTTCAACTTCTTTTTTTGACCAATACCATTAGCTCAGCACCTAATACATTTAATGTCGAAATCTTTTCTATCAGATGTAAACTACTTAAAAGTAGTAATTATGTCTTAATTCAGTTTCTCTCTCTAGAATCTAGTAGATGGAAGAGACAGGAGATAAAAGTGAAAAATGCATGAACACCACTGGAAAAATGGGTAAGTGCTACCTGAACAATTATTATTATTTTGTGATTTGTCTATAAAATGACTTTGGTATTGATGGAAATGGGTGTTAAGAAGTTGAATTAATTATGAGGCAAATCATTTTTCCTAGCTGTTTTTTGTTTTTGGTCCAGACGAAGGTCCTGGGGAGCCCTTGTGGGGCATGAGGAAGCTCCCTCGCTGCAGTGCCAGGCTTAGCTTCTCAACTGTTGCTACCAACAAGTTAGATGAAAGCACTGTCTACAAACAAGGATGGCCCCCAACTACACTTTTTCTTAAGTGGTAGTTTTGAGAAAAGGTATTCCACCTCTTTTCTTTAGTTTCTCATGTACTCGTATGTTTACAGACAATGCAGAGGACTTAAGGAAATAGCTAGAAGGGGTGCCAAAAGTGGGAATACCAGCTTCTTCACTTCAGCATCCAAGCTTTGAGGAGACCCACGTAGTTCTACCAGAACATCAGTTATAATACTGGCATTTTTATTCATTTATTTTTATAGCAAAAGAAAATCATGCAAATACAGGGCTGTGGTGCTTCAAGGGCATGTTTGCAAAATACACAAACAATTCCACACAATTCTACATATTAATAGCTGCTGGTTCTTGAAGAAACAATTCCTTTGGTCCTCATGGGAATCATCTTTTCATCTCTTTGGTAACTTCTGGCTTATCCTTCTCTAAGATTCAGTTTACACTAACAGAAGTAGTTTGGAAATTAGATGAGAGTCGCAGAAAATGAAATAGTCAGTGTTTTCCAGGCCTAGGATCCTCACCTGTTCACCAGCTTGGGATTCCCCAATGATGAAACGGTCTCCTGGGCCATCAGCAGCTGTGAGATGGAACAGAGCCAAGAGAAAAGGTCAGTATGAACCTACAGCAAGGAACAAGAACCTAATATCACAATTCTAAATCTTGACTCAGATTATTTGATAATGTTTCAGAAAAGTTGGCTATTCTTCTTTCTCTCAGACTGTACGATGGTTTTCTGCTTTGTTACAACTGGTTTGATTCTTGGTGTCCATAATTTGAAAGTAGTCTGTCTAGAATGTAGCCTTCTGGTCACTCACCCTACAGTTTCCATGCTCAGACTTTTCCACCAGGAAATTCTTTTAACCTATCCTCCTAAAGAGCTGCCACCTCATCCATGTATGCATGTGTGACATGTGTTGGAATAGTTTACATATGTGTGTGTGTATATATATGTATATACATCAACTATATCATAGTTCTTCATTTTTTCATACAAAAATCCAAGCCGCTTAATTCTGTGTTCTTATTTATGTCCCAGTGTAGTCTTTACAAGAATTCAGTCAAATAGGAAGAAGTCGCATTCCTTTCTCCATTTGAAAGTTGAAGGAAGGGATGTCGGCAGAAAATGAAATAATAAAGAGAATAATTAATATAAAAATTAAATATGAAAAAATTAAGAACCTCAAATAAGCTCTGCTTAGAGGTTCTAGGTACAACTGGGACTAAATCTTGGTCCCTTCATCCCCAGCACACTGCTTGATAATATCATGGTCAAAACGTTATTTCTGAACTAAAATACATAGATAATTATATCACATTTTCCACTGTTACTGTTATTTATCTTAAAACTGGAAAAAACATTTTATAAGAATTGAGATGGAAACAACTTGTCACTTAACACTTTTCTTTTCTTACATATGTCATAATTGAGGCTGAATCAATGAGCTTAATTTAGCTTTCAGGTGAAAACTGTTGACAAAGCACTGCCTCCTGAATGAGCTGCATGATCGTGAACTTGACTCCATGCCATCTGTGCACAGTAAGGGTTGGGGCACACAGATGCAAAAAGCTAACATCATTTACGAGCATGCTAATTATACCTGCTGCACTGACTTAACAAGATCAGTTTTCCTTTTAAAAAGAATACATGAAGTTATATCTTTATGCAACTGCAAAGCAGTACTTTTTTCAAAGGTTCCAAAAAAAAAAAAAAACAGTTTTAACAAGTCATTTTTTTTTGTACACATGGTTTTGGTTAATCTAATGTAGAAAGGGACAAAAAATTTATATTCTCTTTTGTCACTGCATATTATATAGTGTACTTTAGAAATATCTCATTAAATAGATCTGCGGATTTTTGCAGTTTTTTTGATTTTTAATTTTTCACTATTCATATATAAAAACTAAGGAGTTTTCTTATTCCACTTTCATGGGTTACTTTTTGTTGAAAGATTTTAAATAACCAAACAACTGCTTCAACAGTTATCAACATTTTATCAACCTTGTTTCATCTACTCTACCCAGTTATTTCTCCAACTAAGTAAAATGATGATTTTCCTATGACAGAAAATTAACTATATTTCAAACATGAATAAGCTTACTTTAGTTGATTTATCTTCAATAAAAACATTAATAACCTTGCCAGCTCTCACGGCAACCAAGGGCTTTTGTCTTTACACTTTCTACACAGCAGGAAATACAAATGGCTTTAAATAAAACAGCTGAACCTGAACCTCCTCTGCCTCTTAGCACTCTCAGGGATTGCAGCAACATTAGCAAACACTTGTTTCTTTGTTGTTATTGATAAAGGTAAGGATAATATTATTACTTTAAAATAATACTTTTTAAAGATGTTCATTCATTTTATTCAGTCAGTAAATTTTTTTAAAAGTTTTTTTTTTTTTTAAATTGGGAAATCAGATATACAGAGAGGAGGAGAGACAGCGAAGAAGATCTTCCATCCATTGATTCATTCTCTAAGTGACTGCAATGGCCAGAGCTGATCTGATTTGAAGCAGGAGGAGCCAGGTCTCCCACGCGAGTGCAGGGTCCTAAGGCTTTGGGCCGTCTTCGACTGCTTTCCCAGGTCACAGGTAGGGAGTTGGATGGGAAACAGGGCCCCTGCCGGGATTAGAACCGGCGCCCATATGGGATCTTGGTGTATGCCAGGTGAGGAAGTTAACCACTAGGCTACTCCTCCGTGCCCCAGTCAGTAAATTTTTACTCAGTGTCTTTAAACTCTCCAGTGTAACACTAGGAGCTGAGGTTTGAATAGAGTAAAATTGGACATTGTTCAATTGTCATGCAGTGCTAAGATGCTGCAGAGTTTGTGAGCTCTGGATCATAAATTGGAATGCGCTATAAAATCAATTTATAAAGAATTATTTAATGAAAAAGGATATAAAATATATTCATAAGTATGGTTATGATGGGCACTGTTGCATGAAATTGCTGTTTAAATGTTTATCTATATTTATATGTATTATATATTTATATAGATCCATATATACCACTGACTTGAGAGGTATAATGCATTTAATGTATTTCTTCCATGGTGTCACTTAAGTAGAGAGGAAGGCATATTAATAAAATAAATCACACTAATGAGCACATATAATAAATTCAACTTCAAAAACTGCACTAACGGGAGGGAACATTGTTTTCTGAGAGTATATATATGGTATCTAAGGCACACAGGAGGGGCAGGAAAGCCACCCTAACAAAAAATTTTTCTGATTTCAGTTTGAAGGATGAGTAAGAGCTGAATAAGTATGCTTGTGTGCACACCCCGCCAACAAAGATACACAGAGACTGAAAGTAAAAGGATGGAAAAAGATGTTCCAAGCCAACAGAGAGCAAAAAAGAGCAGGAGTAGCATCCTAACATCAGGCAAAACGCGTTTAACACACAAAAAAGAGTCTTTAATTTTGTCAAAAAAGACCAAGAAGGACATTATGTATTGCAAAAGTGATCAATTGAACAGGAAGAGGTGATCACAGTAAAAGTTTACACATCCAATGCCAGGGAGCTTGGCTATTTAAAACAAACAGTAATGGGTCTAAGGGAGACATAGACTTTGTCATAGCAATAATAATGTGGTTGTCAACATCCCACTCTCATCAATGGACAGGCCAACCAACAAAAAAATCAACAACAACAACAACAACAAAACAACAGAGCTACTCTCTGCTATGGACCAAATGGACCTAACTGATATCCACAGAACATCGGATTCCACAGCAGCAGAGTGGACATTGTGTTCATTAGTGCATAACATTTTCTCTAAGCTAGAGCATGTACCAGGTCAGGAAGCAAGTCTCAACACATCTGAATAAACTGAACTCACAACAGGTATTTTCTTGTTCTAGCAATAGAATGAAGCTGAAAATTAAAAACTAAGAAACTCAAATGATCTAACAATGAATCTCAAAGATGCAGACAAACAACAATTCAAATCCAAAATTAGTAGAAGGAAAGAAGCAGAGGAGAAATAAAATTGACAACAAAAATATTACACCAAAGATTAGTGAAATGAACTGATAATCTTTCACCAAACAAATAAAAAAAAGAGAGGGGGAAGACCTAGACAAATAAAATCAGAGCAGAAAAAACTAACAACATGACGGATACACAAAAAATTATCAAAAATTACTACAAAAAGCTATGTGCCAACAAATTGGAAAATACAGAAGTCATGGGTAGGCTTCTGGATACACACAATCTACCAATACTGAATCTTGAAGACACAGAAAACCTAAATAAACCAATCATCAAGTTGGAGACTGAATCTGTAATAAAGACTTTCCTCACAAAGAGAAGTTCAGGACAGGATGGCTTCACTGCTGAATTCTACCAGACTTTTAAAGAACTACTACTTAAATTCTCCTCAAACTATTCAAAACAATTCAAAGGCACAGGATTTTTCCAGCATTACAAAAACCTAGAAAAATACATAATGAAGAATTAGAGCTATGACACATATGGGCAAACCAGGGTAGGGGGTGGGCCTGGTGGGAGTTATTGTGTGTCGCTCCAACTAGGCTGCAGCTCCCACTTGTTTATGTGAGGGCCGAGTATGTGCTGGGCAGCAGCAGGCTGGACTACAACACCCATTGGTTCCACTGGAAGTTGGGAGTGAAAACAGAACCAACCCAGCAATTACAACCACCAGCTGATCGGGGCGATGGACTGTGCCGGGCCCTGTACTTGCTAACACATACAAGAATCAGGTCCGAGAACACCTCAGACAAAGTTTCATTGGAGATCTCCCCAATCAAAATGCTGGACTCAGAACTGTAACCAAGAAGAGAGAAGATAGAACAGGTCAACCAAGCATCCCAGCTATATCTTGGCAGCGAAATATGGGGCAGAGACTCTATGATGGACTATGTCAATCAGTGGAATCCTCAAGGACCTCATCGTGCTTGGAGTGGCAAGATTGGCAGAAATTCATAACTGTTGAAATATCAAATCCACTTGAGCAAGAACCTCGGAGCATACCCTACATCCAGGACCTGGGGAGGGTGGGAAATTGGGTGGGCCTTCTTCCTTAATACCCCCCTTTAAACATGAAGGAAACAATTTGGAAAAAAATAATAGTCCTATCCCCCCAAAATACAAAATAAAATAAAATAAATCTTATCTAAAAAAAAAAAAAGAATTAGAGCTATGGTATACCAGCATCCCCCAGAGACACAAAAATCCTCAACAAAATACTAGCTAATTGAATCTAAGAATACATTAGGAAGATTGTTCATCTGGACAAATAGTATTTATTTACTCCTGAAACACAGGGATTGCTCAACATACACAAATCAGTAAGTTTGACACATCACATTAACAAATTGAAAATTAAAGGCAATGATTACCTCAACAGATGCAGAGAAAGCATTTGATAAAATACAACATCCACTCAGGACAAAAATCTTAAGCAAATACGGTATAAAAGGAACACTCTTTAACAGAACCAAGGCAATATATAACAAGGCCACACACAGCATCATACTGCATGCGGAAGGACCGGAAACATTTCCACTATGATCTGGACCAACAAAGATAATCACTTCCTCCACTGCTATT